CCACCATGCCGGCCCAAACACTGCCAACCAGAGCACCACCACGCCGGCCCAAACACTGCCAACCACTGCACCACCACGCCGGCCCAAACACTGCAAACCAGAGCACCACCACGCCGGCCCAAACACTGCCAACCACTGCACCACCACGCCGGCCCAAACATTGTCCAGGTAAAGCCAAATGTATCTAAAAAACAATTAATTAACTCCACAATTAGATATTATAAATAACATATGCCATAAAAAAAAAATCCGGAATGACAAAGCATACAGTAATGTATAAAAGTCTTAGGCAGACATAGAAAATAACATTTAATGATCTTCATGTTGGCGTAAAACATAGATGCGCAAGTCAAAGCGTGTCAGCTTGGCCATTTCAAAACCTGTCTTGAAACCACCCAGTATCTGGAGCACCCAGTATAACCATCCAATACATACATGTATTTTTTTAATTGACCACTAACACACCTCATACACTTAATCGATACCTCTCTGAATGTAAAAAAAAATATATATATAAAGTGAGCTGGTGGTAAAATTTAGGGAACATATGTAAAGGCAGGGGTTCCCCTGAGGAGAGGTTTGGGAACCGAAGCGGGGTGCCCCTGAGGAGAGGTTTGGGAACCGAAGCCGAAGCGGGGTTCCCCTGAGGAGAGGTTTGGGAACCGAAGCTGGGTGCCCCTGAGGAGAGTTTTGGGAACCGAAGCGGGGTTCCCCTGAGGAGAGGTTTGGGAACCGAAGCGGGGTTCCCCTGAGGAGAGGTTTGGGGACTGAAGCGGGGTTCCCTGAGGAGAGGTTTGGGAACCGAAGTGGGGTTCCCCTGAGGAGAGGTTTGGGAACCAAAGCGGGGTTCATCCAGCCGTCCAGCAAGATATCAGGGTCTTTTGGGAGAACAGAAATTCTTGTGTTGCTCTTAATTTGCATGAGGTATAATATTTTTTATTCTTAGCAAATAAGCACTTACTCAGATACATAGTTTTAAGTATTTCCTTTAACAGTCTAAGACACAGTACAGTATTGTTGCTTGAACACCCATTTTTCCTGTTACTATTCAGGATATCACCATCCAGTAAATATTTTAATTAAGTAGAACGACATGAGTCAGACTCGTGCTGTTATGGCATGATAAAGACACAAAGACTTGTTCCACAGTCCCATTTCGGGGCCGTGTGATTTCATTCGGACTCCCTGGCTGTCACAGACTGTATGAAACACATTCTGGGAAAAAAAACCCTCATCCTATTTAAAGTCTTACTCTGTCATTCAATCATTTCATATCTGAAAAACCCTTCTAGTTCATTACAATTTTAATAAACCACAACTGTCATGTGAGCATTCTCAACCTGGTGTCTGACACTGCCCACAGTATCCCATATAGTGTAGAAATCAAGAGAGGTGAGATTGGGAGAAGGTTGCCTACAGTAGATGTAGAATTATTTACAAATGGAAAAAAAAAAATCATGTGACATTATGAATATGAGTTAGCCGGTGGGAAACAGTCCCATAAAGCTCGCTAAAGGAATCTGCTAATGCAGTGACAAAGAATCAGAACAGATACTGAAACCTGGGATTCTGGGTGGATGGACAGGAAGAGGCAGCACAGTTACAGAATCCATCCCATTAATTAGATTAAATTTATACTAAATTATACAGTGGCCTCTTCAGGGGTGGCACTGTTGCGTCAAATCTCCATGAATAGGGGTTCGATACTCACTCCCTCCCCATTTTGAGTGTAGCTGGCATCCTAACCAGGGTCAACCACCTGCTGGTGCTCTAAGCTGCCTTGCTAAGTAGTTGGATGGATGGATGGATGGATGGATGGATGGATGCACTGTATACTGATGACAGGAAAATCACTAAAGAGGTAGATGTGAGACAGGCCAATTGGTAGCATGACGTTGGGCTCTCTTACCAATCTGTGTGGAAGTCACCGATAACCAGCAAGACCTTTGGCTTGGGGACCACAGGCAGGGATGGAGTCGGACCAGTGCCGGAGGTTAGAGATGGAGCAGAGGCTGGGGCCGGGCCGTGCACCGACCGCGCCGGCTCTGCCTGCCCCACAGTGGCGGCTGGGCCACTCCGGACCACACTGGAGAAAGAGCTGAGGAAGTTGGAAGAGGAGGAGGCTGAGGCGGAGGAGGAGGCCGGGGCGGAGTGCTGCTGAGCGCGTCTCTCCGTGGCAGGAGACGCCGGCGAGCTGGACGGGCTGGATGGAGCGGCCGGCCGCCGTAGCTCCGTCACGTAGCCGTTGGGCAGGTTGGCCACGAAGCTGCTGTCGGACAGGCGTCGGCGTAGGTAGTTCATGGTGATCCGTGGGCGGGGTCAGGGCTGAAACGTAAGGAGCGTCTGGATTGGTTGGTGAGAAGCAGCTGGGTCAGCTGACACAGAGGTATCCAATCACCTTCAAGCATTTTGGTAACAAAGGCTGCAGTTCGTTAGTGTCAAGCTGCTTAAATAAAACCTTTAAAAATGACAGAATGTTAATCACATGATTTACATGCACATACAGCCACACTCTCCAGGATATGAGCAGCATGGCTAAAAGAAACTTTCAGGCACTTTGATGTCCATCTGTTTCATCAGCATTACCTTGCAATAAATTAGTCTTGCAATATCATTACTGCAGTATAATTACACTACATTCTTCTATAATAAAGCTAATTTCAGGAAAAGCAATGAGGACCCTTAAGATTTTCCCATCTGATGTGATTTGTTCGAAAGAAGAGCTGCAGGTTACTGTAACTGAAAAGTCATTTCAAATTGCCAAATAGTACTCATCTGAAAAGTAAGGCTTCACCTCACTCTACACAGGAACTGCAGAGCCCTCTTCCAGAATGGCTGAGTACACCCCACCTTCAGCTTTGCTGCAGAACAGCAAAGTAAACAGCGACCCCTGCTGGTTCACCTGATGTCCAGCAGGGGCGCCCTTGTTACACTGCACTGACTTACAACATACTGATTCTAAGGCAATCTTGGCATGTTTGACATGAGTGTGGAGGAGGGAACAGACACAATAGAATAAAGAAATGACCCAGAACCCAGAACAGCTACTATTAAAAACATGACACATTAAATAAAGATGCAGTGTTTCAGCATGTCGGATCAGAACCTGGGAACTGGAAATGTGGATATTGTCTGTTCCATTCCACTCTGAACCATTCAATAGCCAGGCTCTTGCTTAAGGTAAAGTCCTGGTGACAATAATCAGCCGTCATTTCCTTGAGATATCACTGGGCTCGACTGTCACATTACAAGGCTGCAGTTATATAACACACTCTCTCTCTCTAACAACACAGCGAATCAGTATGCACTGGTATGAGCCCACAAAGCAAGCATCCATGTGTCACATGCATTATCTAACACGTTCAACATCACTGCGAATTTTTAGAATTGTGAAACACTTCAAGGAAACGCATACAGATCTCGTATTTAACCTTTAAGATGGAAAATGTGCGCCAAAATGTACAGCTCCAGATATAAATTTTGTGTAAATTATTACATAATGGGATGGAAAGCACCAGGATTAACTTGCCACGATAAAGGAGCAGCACACAGTGTTACTAAGGCACTGAGCTACAATGATGGAATGTGATGCCATGGGGACTCCATCACTCGGCGTTTCGTTTGTGGCGATGGAAAAACGCTCAGGTTTCAGGTACTGCTACTGAACTGGGCTGAGATCTGGTGCCTGTGATGCATTGGGGATATTGGCATCCCAGGAGATTGCACAACGAATACAAAATATCCAACATGATAATCCTTACTGCTTTGTAGCCTCTTCTCCCAGCACCTGACTTCACCCCGAGCAAGGACGTCGACCCCGCCTGCTAATTATATTTAGTCCCGGAAAACGAACACAGCCCCGCAAAAGCTGCGGGAGAAAGCTGCACTGTGGACGGGCCGTTTGGATCGTGTCGTGCGTGTTCTCGTTCTGCTCGCTGGGAACAGTGTGAAAGATGACTCATTACACCAAATCATTCATCTCCAGCTCCTTGGGAGACCAATGCCATGCACAACTTTACCCGCAAAGCACCCTTATAGATGCAAATAGAGGTTTATCCACCGAAATCCAGCCATAGGATCCCTCTCTCTTGAGCTCTTAATCAGACAGAAAAGCAGTAATTCTAGATCAATAAATAAGACTTGCCAGAATGTTGTACTGAACTGCCATTTTTATTTGAAATTGTAAAATATCTGTAAAATATATGCATTTTCCACATCATTGTTCTCTCTTAAATAATTAAATGTGATTAACTAACAATTATGTATAATAAACAAGCACACAAGCAGAACTACTTCTGAATCGGTATATTGCTTCCGGACAGAATTCATAGCTTTCATACTATGATTAACTGATAAAGGGAGCTGTCCAACACAGTGGTGCTGAAGTAGGCTTTTGGCCTAAAACTTCAAGGCAAACCTTACTTTAAACCAGCATTTCCCAATCCAGTCCCCGGGGAGTTGTAGACGGTCCACGTTCCTGCCCCATTCCCAGGAAGGAAGTAAAGTTTTGGACTCTGACAGGGAGCAAAAACATGGGCTGTCTGCAGGTCCCCGAGAACTGGGCTGGGAAACACTGCTTCAAATTATTCAATTACGTAAAGCCCATGGCATCGAGCATCAAGCAGGCCTTTCATCTATGGCCTGAGGCAAATAAAATAAAAAGACTCTAAAAGAAGATCCATCCAGCTACCCATCTACTAAATGCACATCTTTATTGAGGGGGGGGGGGTGAAACATAGAGCACAAGTCAAGGGGACTGAGACCAATCATCCAGTCCGCATGTCTTTGAACTGTGGGAGGGAAACATGCATGATATGGGAAGACAATGCAAACCTCTTTGTAGAGACCATGCCTTCATTTCTATGGGAAAAAGCCTAATCCCAGCAATGATGACCTTAACCCCTACCCATCCCTAGCCTTAACCATAAGCAATCAAACAAAATACAAGATGTTTGGCATTTTTTGTTTTTTGATTGCAGTCACAGATTTTTAGAAAATTGAGGATCCTCTTGCGGGAACTGAAAAAATGGCCCCCACAATGAAAGAACAGATTTTTATCATACTGTGGGGACATTTGGTACCCACAGTGTAATATATACACATAACCCCCCCCCCCCAACCCACACAGGTCAGGATTTAATCCCCCAGCCACAGCTGTCTGAGTCAACAGTGCTACTCCTACTCCCTAAGCAACCTCTCAGCCAAGGATGTCAGTGAACAGTCCACCATCTTCAAACTGTGGCACACATGCTTGAGCCCACGTACACAGTGATCTCCTACCGAGGCGTGTTTTCACCCAGACAAGGGCGAACCCTTGGTATGCATTCCAGAATCCCAGTCTGCCACAGCCACCCTCAGTTTTAGTATCTCGCTTGCTTCTTCTTAAGATTTCACTACAATTAAGAGACCAACTGTGTGGACTTCATTACTCTGTAATCAGGAAAGACATCATTGGGATTTCTTACACCCAAATGACCACACTTCAAGATAATGTATAATCTTCAAGGGAGCAGGGCTGCAGCGAGCTTTAATGAGGTCTACAAATTATCCATGGCTGCAGATCCAACTGTTTCGTGCTAAAGAAATCGGGGTAATCCCTGTCCCATTTAGCCATCAAGCCTAAAGAATAGGGATGCTCCTTTTGACCGTTTAACCGTTAACCGAAATAATTAATTTTGACCGAATATTACTATCAGTTAAACGGTTTAAAATGTTTTTATATATATTTTAATTATTAGTAGTAGTATGAAGTTTTGTGGCATCTCAGCTGTTCTAAATACACTGGGTTTGAATCGGCGACTGTGATTACAGGCACACAGGCTTAGCCCACTGAGCCATGAACACAGGTATGAGCTTTGCTGCTGAAAATGGAAACATTGGCGCAAAGCTTCAGCGGCAGAGACGTATCCGTGTGCTATATTGTAGCCGATCGGTGTAAACACTACCCAGACATGTG